TTTGTACACTTTTTGATGATTTGAAATGTTACCAATCTATTCTGCACCCCTACTCTTTGTGGAATCCAAAATGTGAAAACAATGATAAGTCAGATCTCCAATTATATTCGAATGTGATAACAGAAGATATGCCTAGAAATGGAAGCGCAAATGTTATGTCTATAAAATACCAGAGTTTCTGATAAAAGCATGAAATGACTATGGCGAATCTTGGTTGCCATCCATCTTCCTTTTTGTTTGCACTGACAGGCAATTAGAGAGTACAGGGTTGGAATTGTTATAAGTAAGAACAAGGATTCTTTCATTAGTCTTTATCAGAAACTAATTGCCATCAAGCTCCCCTTGCTTAGTAATAAATTCTGGTAATAAAACAGGCAGGTTAAATCAACCTCCATTTAATTAGATTAGATCATTCTATCAACCTTTCATCCATGGAGAATCAACGTATACAGTAAAACCTGTAAATGGCAGCACCTCTAGAAGTAGAATGCCTCTGTTAGCGGAACACTTTTCAGAGTTCCAAGACCAAATTGACTTAGTGTTAAATGAGCCTCTATAAGTAGAACACCTTCCATGTGAAACATTTTAGAGCTACCAAAGGTGTTCCACTTGGATATGTTTTTCTGAACGAATAAAGACTTTTACTTTTAATATAATGAATTCAAGATATTTAAAATATTGCCTACTATGCTTTCTCTACCTTTATTTATTTTTTGACTCTAAAATGCCATTGTACATACTGTATGTTTCAGAATGCCTTAGAGTGGGGTGAACCATATAAATGTGTTTGAACATATTTTATAAAGAAATATGAGTCTTAAATTATGTATCATGTCAATTTTTTGTATTGGTGTTTTCCAAGACTAGCCCCTCATAATTCCTGATTATATACTTCCAATAATTAAATACGAGGGGGGAGGTCAATTAAAACAGTTTAATTTTTCTAATTACACTTTTGAAAATGACAAGAATTCAGCATTCTGATTCTCATCACATCTTTCTGTCTTCAACCAGAACATACTAGTGTGAAGCTAATAGAAGTCCATGATTTCTCATGATGAGAATTTGGTAGACTTGGGATTATTCAAATTCACTTGCCTCTACATTCCACAGTAAGGCAAAGGCAATGCACATTGGATAAAGACTTCAATACATTACAATAAGAAAGGTTACACATTTAAGAAGATCAAGAGAATACATCATTCAAGAAAAAGTTATTTGAGCTTTAACGCCACATTAGCTGATCTGTGTAGTTAAACCTTCCAGTGAGTAAACAGTGAAAACAGCAGAGGTTAAAACCTATCAAAAGATTGTCATTTGCTACAAAATGATTTGAAATAGCTTTTAAAAAGGTCAATATTGACTCAGGAACTCTTGAAATCTTGGGTTTCAGGCATATTAACCACACCGACCACTGACACAGTGATGCTGTCTAGAGGCCCTCCTATTATACTCTATCAATTGATCATTATCATACATTTACTCCTCTAACATTTTCCATATACGTACATGTATATGAATTAATCTTTCTAATAACTCTAAAAGGTAACTTAAAAGTATAAAATACCATCTCAGAAACCTATTGTTATGACCGCCACTTCGAATTAACAACCCTTCCCTGACCAAGTGGAAGAATCTCAATGCAGAAATAGAGATTAAAAATATTGGTTAAGTTTGATGTTGTTCATCAGCCACAAAAGTACATGCCACTAAGAGAGGTACCCAAGGCAAAACCTTTGAAGAGTTTAACACCAATAATAACAAGAATACAACAAAAGCATCAACTTTTTCCTAAAATGCCATAACCTGATATTACCACAAGCATTTAGATATCTTGACACAACTAATATAATGTAAGGCAATTAAAACATGTTTAAAATTGTTGAACTATTACTTGACAGCTAGCAGAATCTCCTGATTTTAATTTTGCCTTAAAACTGTTCAATTTCCTTATCAAATCTCCCTCAGACATTTACCACATGATGAAACTTAGGCCGAGGAATAACCTTAGATATAAAATGACATTTGACATCTTCTAAAATTACAATCAATAAGGAATAGCAGATATCTCTAGTTCCTCTATGATTTTATCCAAGTAAATTTCATGTCAGATGATTCCAACTGACAGAAAAACAAGGGTGACTGAAATTACAATAAGAAAAAAAAGAATTAACAACAATGCAATTTCCAACCTGATAATGAAATAAATAAAAAGTAAATTATATATCCGTGATATTCATCAATTACCCTAATGTACGATAATGAGAAAATAATTGGTGATAATAATCCACTTGCATAGCAATCATTTCTGCTATTTCCAGCATCTCAATGTCTAAAAAATCAATCAAGAAGCTAGCAATTGCTCCATTGTATTAACACACTGTCTCAAAGATGAGGGTTGGCTCAACAAATAATAGAATGGCAGCCTTTTCAGATATATCATGTAGCTATTTAATAGACACATGTCCACAATCTGAAAGCATGATAATTTTCCAGTGATATGCACAAACACAAATAGAAAACTGGAGGTGAAGCTGGAGCTATTGAGATGACAAGTGTATTAAACCAACCTTGTAAACCACCAGTCTGATCAGAGATCCATCATTCTCTAAGCACCTTGTCAAATACATATTGAGCCACATGATCACTGTCAAGGTTTTCATCAAGCAACTCCTGTACTATGTTGTCCCCTGATACATTCTCATTAATTTCAATTTAAAATTCAAAAATAAGAGACTGAAATTGGAACTCTGAAAGTCTTAAAAGGATTGTTTTATGAGAAAAGATGATGGCGCAACTGATCATCATGATCAGATTAAGCCATCCCTTGATGCAGTGTTAGATACAATCCACAAACGGGTAACAGGGAATGAGTGGTTTAGTTATGCCCCAAGTTTTAAAAAATGAGGCTCTACGCAGCAAGAGATTTTACAAAATTGTGAACAATTTGGCTAAATGAAAATTTCTGAAAATGGAGCTTAGACAAATGATGGCTTTCTGACAACTAGAGATCTTCTAATAAGCAACTTTTGATAATTGGTAATGGATGTTATGATACGAAAAGAAAGCCTTGCAATAGTACTTATACTGGTCGAGACAATGAAGACTAATCTAAGAAATAGCTTTAATATCAGGAAATAGCCTGCATGATATCAGTCTATTCTTGAATGCTTAACAATAAAAATAGGAA